GGGAGTGCTGGTTTTGAAGTTGTAGGTGATGTGACGGAGGACTGGGCTTTTGTGCGGGGAAGAGCAGATTTTATTGTGTTCCATTCGTAGCTCCTCTTATGGACAAATGTGTTTTATATTATCTGAGCAGGAAGGAGTGTGTGTGTGTGTGTGTGTGTGTGTGTGTGTGTGTGTGTGTGTGTGTGTGTGTGTGTGTTTGGATCAAAAATGCATCGGCAATGGCTGCGACGGTTACAATCCTCCTGATCGGAGAACTTGAAACCCTCTGACCTAAACCAACATCAGGCTTTTTTACATCGAAGCACCTGCTGGGACTCACAGATGGAGAAAAGGAACAAAGAGATGGATAGACCAAGTGAGACTTGTAACTCCCTCTCTACCAGATTTTAATAAGAGAAATCTCCAAAAAGGGATTAATTCACCTGGCTGGCCTGCTGTTTTTAATAGAGAGTAACTATTTTATCTCTATGGTTAATATCATTTCTTGGCGCTGACGTCTCCCTCTTGGCTTCTCGGGCTCTGGCACTTTTACAGTAGTGTTACTCTGTTACATGCGAGGGAGGCCTTTGAATCCACACATGGAAAGTTCTCCGAGGCGGTGTTGACTCATGGGATCGAAACACCTGCTGGGGCCCACCGATCCGATCGCCCGGTTGAACAAACGAAACAAAGAAAAGTCGAGAAAATGAAATTTTAATTCCACATCTGATCTCACCGACGCAGACGGAGCAAATGAAAGAGGGAGGCAGAGAGGACTCATTTTAAGCTCGGGTTTGCATCATTTCCTCTGTCGTTTTTTTTGTTCTTTCTCCTGTGGCTGCACATTCCAGATATTTTTGTAGTGAACGCATTCCTCTTTTACAAATAGTTTGAATGTGTTTATAAAAACAAGAGAAAAACGCTGCCCTGAGTAGCAAATTTTACATAAATCTGTACTGTGGAACTGAGAAAGTTAGTCAGTAGGGAGGAAAAGAAGTCCGAAAGAGCACATTCGGTGTCTCTTGGCACATTCTCTTGACGTATCCCGGCCTGTGAAAAACGGTTGGGATTGGCCAAAGCAAAAGTGGCGTGCCTGGCAACCAACGTCTCATTGGCTAAAAGTTCATTAATGGGCCAGTTGGCTGTTGTGGCCCACAGCCTGAGCCCACAGTGTTATCTGTGACTACAGAGGGCAGTCAGACGTGGCAGGAGATGGAGAGTGTCGATTTACCCCAGTGGAAAACTACACTTCTGCTGGCTTGAAAGGACTCTCTCTCTCTCAGTCACACACACACACACACACACACACACACACACACACACACACACACACACACACACACATCCAGTACAAACACCACACATGCACACACACGCCTACAGTCCAAAGCCTGTGGGGAATTTCATTGAACACAAGGAGCAGTAGAATTCCATCACACATGCCAGGGGTTTCATGCCAAATTACCCTTTAATGGGATATTAAATGGCAGGAATCTGGCTCAATGTTTTCCCTTCCCACTCCGTACCAGATTTCGCCCTGTCCGATATCATGTAGATCATTATGCGGCAAATAACTCCCAACGTGTCTGCGGACAGAGACTGGGGGATCTCGGCCCGACATTTTGCACGAGGTTGACACTGGTACGTTTTCTCAGGTTCTCTCCTTTATGGACTCTGGTTACAGCTGGGTACGATAGCCTGGTGGGGAGTGTAGAATGCTTGCCAATTCTTCTGCTGATGTGGAAAAGTTTCGATAGTTCAAAGCAAGTCAGGGGTCACCAGCAAGTTTCCAACATTTAGATTTCTCTCTTTCGAACATGCATCTATTAAACTAAGATGATCGACATTTTACTGATTCTGCAGCCATGCTAGTGTCTCCGTGAGCTAAATGCTATTGTCGACAAGCTAAAATGCTAACATGCTGATGTTTAGCGAGTAGTGTTTACCTCCTTAGTTTGGGGTTTTGCAGGTATTTGGTCATATTTTTGGACAAATTTTGAAAACCCTTGATGGCGCTACATGAAAAGACAAACATGAAGTTGTGCAACACATTTCACGGCAACCCAGTAGTTGTCGAGACATTTCACTCAAAACCACCAATATCAACCTCATGGTGGCATTAGCTGAAAACTGCGTCACCAAAGTTAAGGAGGCGGTGATGGAATTTGTTCAGGCAGCCAAAATGACCTAACTATTTATTTTTGTCTGTTGCTACTGCTTATTTCATTCTGCATCAACCAACATGCGAGTCAGAGATTCTTGGTCATACAGCACATTAAAGTCACCTTTTTCGAACATATTTCTAAATCACTCACTTCAACACATAGTTTTCTTCATAATACGTTCGATGAAAACAGCAGTGTTTTGATGGCTGAGATCCTGAGGTCCTTTTCAGTATTAGGTCACAGTGAGTGCCAGACAGTTATTGAAACCTTGAGAGTTCAGTGGCACTTGAGGAGCCCTGGAAGCGACCAGGTGAATGGAAGAAAATCTTAATCTTAATGTGGGAAAAAAAGAGAGAAGAAGAATGTTTGGGTTTCTTGTCTCGAGGTAGAAAGGCAGAATGATGTGATGGTTGTTCAAGATAAAAGATTTCTATCATGACCGTTTTCATATTTTTGACTAACAAGATCTACTTAACTGGATTTCCTTTGCCATTAATGTCTCTCTTGTTTCCTCTCCAGAGGAACCCAACTGGGATGATTCATACAGCAGCGTTCGTTGAGGGATGGTTTTGTCTGATTTAAGACGTTCGCTGACTGATGAACGGTGGTGTGATTTACTGTAAGCCACAGAGCAACGGCAAAGACAATGCTTGGTGCTCGGTGACAATGAGCCACTCCCCATTGATGGATGAGGACTCCTCGTTTTAGGAATCCAGAGATGTGGATAGACTGGCTACAATTTGCTCTTTCCACAGTTTTCATAGGAAAGGAGAAAGGGAAGACAGAGAGAGGAGGGGGGGGGGATGGGGATGGGGATGTTGTTCCAAGACTGCAGCTTTTGCCAAGACTCTCTGGGTTCAGGTTGGGCTTGAGGAATCAGTGTGGAAGGGATGAGAGGAGGGAGAGGGAGGCACTTGTTCCATCCAGATCTAGAGTTGAGTTTCTCCAGCAGTGGAGAAGAAAGACAGCGTGGTGTCAGTGACTAAGAGACACGGAGACTGTGGTTGGAAGAAGTGAGAGTGAGCGTGTGTGTGTGTGCGCGCGTGTGTGTGTTGTTGTACTTCTTCTCACAAAGATAGGGAGAGGAGGGAAATCTGCCATGACGACCAGGCCTCACTTTGTTAATTTGTTACTTTGTTGGATTTGGATTTGTGTGTTGGGTCCTAATAACAGTTAACTGTGGCGAGGATAAA